AAGAGTGTCTGAATTGGAACTGAGTGAAGGTTTACAGTTTAGGGAGATGAGACACAGTTATGCAGCAGTTTCAGGGACATCTAGATGTCAACTTCTTGTCTCTACCAATAAATATATAACAGTAACATGTCGGTCTCAGCGTAAGAGAGTTTATTTAAAAGCCTAAGTGGTATACTCTGCACTTTGCTTTGTAGAAATATATAGTTATTAGAACCTAAACCATTTTTTAGAATTCACAGAGATGTGGGAATAATGTGCAATTTTACTAAACAAGCAACATCTTCTGGCGGTTTACTGCATCCTGATGATTTTATAGGGTACTGCTGTTTCCTTATGCTTTTTGTCAGGAACTAGGATATACAAGCTTGACTCATTTTCCTGATTTTTTTTTTTTTTTTTTTTTCTTTCCCCCTACATGAAGTGTTGTGGAAGGGCATGTTTTACATGGGGGTGGAAGGGCGTATTGTGGAATTAGCTTGAATTGCATGAGAATCTGAATGAAAAGATTAAGTATTACTGAAAACTTCCCAGGAAATTTTGAAATTAAACTCTTGACAAAATAGTTTACACCTAAGTGGTGAGGGGAGTAGATAAATGCTTATATTTCTAGAAGTATTGTTTTGTTTTCCATTACTTTTTTTTTTTCAGGATCAAGTAACTTTTTGAAATATTTATTGGTTGTTTAAAGTCAATGCCAGTTTCTCACAGAGTAAGTAACATAGTTGAGTCTAGTGCATTGTATAAATTTGACTTAGATATTCACAGATAGTGTAGTTTCATTTTTGTGAGATTAAAATTTGGTTTTGAAGAGACCTTTTCTTCTTTCAATGACTTCAGTTTGATCATAAGGCATGCTTAGATTTATTTATAAATGCCTGCCTTTTTTGTATATACAATATTAACATATTAATGAAGGACTTTCACAGGGTGGTCCCAACAGGCTGCTGCAGGAATGATTCTTTCACGCTCAGGAGTTAAGTGTTTGTGTACATGCATGTGCTACATTTGGAAGGACATGATTTAAGCAATCCAGGAATTCAGATGATAAACCTCTTAAGCATGTTCATGATTTATTAACAAATGATGCACTGTTTTGACACCTCTGTTATGTATCCAGCTATTGAAGATGAAATGTTTTACTTTGGGTTCCATGCTACTCATTTTAAAAGGGAAAAGGGAAAAAAACCCAAACAAACAAACAAACAAACAAAACCCAAACACAACCAAACAAGAACCCAACTAAACCAGCTTTTCTAACAGGATTTAAGTGGGGCATCTTTTCTGTACCAGGAGTGTTATTCTATGGAAGAGCAAGATACTCTTCTGCGGAATCTGAAACAGTTTCTTTATATAATTTTCCTAAGCAAATATATACTTAATTTTGTTCATAATTTAAACCTTACAATGGTACATCAGCACTTCCTAACATAAGCAGTTACTTAAATTAGTAGCTGACATGAATGCCAAGATATTTTCTATTCTGAATAGTAGTTTCATTTTATATATTAGTGAAGCATTTTTGTGCCACTTCTCTTACTCATACTGAGGTCAGTAGGGTTTTGTCTGTTTTTTTTTTTTAAGAGTTGCACTTCTATTCTTAACTCTTGATGTCACGTGCTTTCTTAAGTTACCTCTCATCAGCCTAGAATTGTGTATTTTGTGCAGGAATTTGAACTAGGAGTGGGTGTCATTCAATTTTCAAGGGCAAAAATAGATAATAAATAAATAGACAACATATTAACAACTTTGATATTTTTATATATCTCAAGTATTTAGTGTTGTTTGAAGGCTCGTGGGTTTTGTTGAAGAGCCTGACTTTGAAATGATGTGACAGGGAGGGTGGAAAAGCTATAAGTATATAATATTTCATGATATGATGTTTTTGTTAATGTGGGATTAAGGAATTTTTGTCTCTGCCTGCGTGTTCCTGCCCCTGTGCTGTTATCTGTGTTCAGATAATCTGGGGGAAGTATTTTCTTGAATTCTTATCTTTGATCACTGCAATATAGTTTTAAAGCACAGTCCTATAAAAGTTTGTACTAGTGAAAACTGGGCGCTGTGAACCGCAGTGAAAAGATGGGAACAAATGGCTTGGAGCAAGAGGTGAACTCCTTAAGCTGACGTGTGGTGGCAGCACGTTAGGAAACTGTCCTCTGAAAAGCTTGTTAGCTCATGTACCTGTCCAAGGACTTGATGTTTGCTGTGAGACCTTTATCTGATCCATTGATTTTTCATGTCCTGAAGTGTTTAGGCCTGAGCAAGATTTCTTGTCACCCCATTTCCTGAGCTCCCAGGTGGCAATGGTGCAGCTTTGGCAATGAAATGCTTTGGGTTAGAAAAAGTATTTTTTAATGTAGAGGTTATTTTGTCTCTGGGTTGTCTTGTGTGGAGCTGAAATACAGCAGGTAAAGTGAGGATGGCTTCCTGCCAGTTTGCTGGAGTTTGCTCTTAAGTCTGTGAGCGATGGCAGTGCAGCTGCCCAGGTTGTCAGCAGCTCTTGCTACCAGAGGGTGCTCCCTGCTGTGAACCAGAACAATCTGAAAGGATCCTCAGCTCCCTCTTCTCCCCTGTTTTTCTGCAGTACACATTTTCCATCATCTTCTGCCATGCCCATATTGGCAATAGTCCAGTTTCCAAGAGCAGTAAAGGGGCTCAAGTGTTGAAGTTGTTGTGCTTGGTTGTTCAGGTTTTTTTGATGGAATTGACCAATGTTGACTGCTAAAAGTAGTATGTGTGATGCTTGTTACTGGAGCAGGAAAACTGCTCAGAAAAGTAATCATGGGATTTATCCTTTGCACTGTTGTTACTTTGTCTGGAAAGGAGCAGTAAGTTCAAGGGAAACAAGCATACAGGTCTTAAAATATTAGGATCCTCTGGTCATCAGAGAAAAATTTTATAGAATAGGCTGTTATCCTTCTTCATCTTTTCAGCTATGCTTTAGGGGTGCAAGAGTGTTAACGCTGTATAAATACTCAGTTCAAAATGCAGTAAAATTTCAGGGCATAGTCTCATGGCTCACTCATACCTATTTTTTGGCTGCAAAGAAAACTTAGAGTGGAGCCAAGTTACAAGTCTATGAAACAGGTAAGTAGCTACACCTTTGTATTCCCAAAAGTAGTCCCATTCAGTTGTTTGTGTAGAAACAGCTCACTTACATAAAGATAAAAGTTAATTTCTAAATTTGGAAACTTTGGCATAGTTCAGCATTTTTGTTCCATCTTGTCCATCATCCCTTTTCTTTTATGACCTACGTAACAGGATGTGCAGCTACGTATTGTCTTTGGCAGTATTTGTCCTGCATAGCATCTGCTGAGTTCTTTAAGTTATCACTAGGGGTTTTTTGCACCATTAGAGGATTCCAGCTTCACCATTTTGAAGGCTATGTCTTTGTTGTCAGAGTAGTCCTAGTTAAATTCTGACAGTTGCTGGGGTGCTTAATTTTTTTGTTTGCTTTCTTGGAGCCTTAGTTGTGTAATTTCTCACATAATAAAAATACTCAAAACTAATCTTATATTTAGTCTTGTATTGAAAACTGTTTTTGTATTGGTTCTGTGAACCTGTCAAAGAGCCAAATTGAGTGATATTCTTCTGGAACAAATGGGTAGGACAAGAGGAAATGGGCTTAAGTTGTGCCAGGGGAAGTTTAGATTGGGTATCAGGAAGAAGATGTTTACTGAAAAGAGTGGTGAGGCATTGGAACAGGCTGCCCAGGGAGGGGATGGAGTCACCATCCCTTGAGGTGTTCAAAAAATGTGTAGGTGTGGTACTTCAGGTTTCATGGTTTAGTGCACATGGTATTGTCGGGTTGATGGTTGGACTTGATGATCTTGCAGGTCTTTTCCAACCTTAGTGATTCTATGATTCTAAATCACCGTCCAGCAAATTTTGAAAGTAACTCCTGGCAAAGTCATAGTTACTATGCGCTGTGCTGGGTGACATTACCTGAATATGCTGAGGGTGAGCAAAAGTAATCCTGGAACTGCAAGCTCTTAAATTTAGAAGGTGCTTATTGTCTTTGTGTCAGTAACAGTTTCTGGGCCAAGTAGCTCCACTACAGTGCTGAGATTCTTCTCCATATAGGAAGAGTACTGTCTGAATGAGTAACATTGTGCAGGAAAAAAAAACCAACAATTGTTTGCCTGAGCAGAGTGTGTTGCAGTGATTTGCCTGGTAAACTCAAGGTAGAATTGTAGGCATTGATAGGAATTTTATAGGCCAATTCTGTCTTTTTGAAAATTGCATGTCCTTCAAGCACACGGCTTCTCTGGGCTTTTGGGAGGGTTGGGAAGTAAGGCTTTTGAAAATGTAAAGGCAGTAATGTGGTCCACAGTCTAATTTCTATGTATGCGTGACTGGTTTTTTTCCCTGCAGTGTTATTGCCTTTCACAAGTGTAAGTCCGTGGTGCTGATAGATTTTATTTATTTATTTTTCCTTACAGGCTTCCTTTATTCTGAAAATTTTATAAATCAGGATCTTTTTTGTTGCACGGGGGAATGTAGACCTGGCTGGTTAATAAACACTTTGCAGTCTTTAGACACAAGTTGTAATGACTACTGTGATTATAGTAACTTTTCATTGCACACTTTCTTTATTTTGAAGGCGAACTGCTGCTTGGAGAATAACTAGTGAAGAAAAGAAAGCACTAGACCAAGCCAGTGAGGAAATCTGGAATGATTTTCGGGAAGCTGCAGAGGCACACAGACAAGTGAGGAAATATGTTATGAGCTGGATAAAACCTGGAATGACAATGATAGAAATCTGGTGAGGACACAGATCTTCTCAAAGACCTCTGCTGTAGATCCTTCTTCATTCTCCAGATGAGGAGGGATTTTGTCTCAGTTTTTTGTGCTTAATTCACTGCATCATGAGTGTTGGGGGATTTCTGTCTGAAGTACACTAGCAGTATCCCAAATTATTTCCTTTAAGTTTTCTTTTACAACATATTTCTTAGCTTGTGCAGCTTTACAGGGCCTGGGATCATAATGGATTTAAAACGGAGGTTTTAGTTACGTTCACTTATTTTGGGCACGTACTTGATTTTAGTGTCTCGTGCCTTGGCTAATCTTGCACGTAAGCTGTGCAGCAGTGCTGAGAGAAGCAGCAGAAGTGGTAGTAAACACTGTGCCTTTTGCCAGAATTGTCAGTGCAGTGCTGCCTGGATGAGCAGTGTAGGTGCAGTGTGTGGCCAGGAGTGGGCAGAGGCATAAAAATGGTGTGGCTCTGTGTACTCATCCAGGGCAGGGAGATTTTGTCTATATTTAATCTTCTCTGACTGATGTATCAGGAGAAACACCATGTTTCTTTGTGTTATTCTTAGTTGATAAGAAATAACACAGCAAATGGATTAAGAAAAACATGAGTTTGATTATGGTAAAGTTTAAAGGAATAATCAGTCTGGGCTGATCAGTTTATCTAGAGTGCATGCCTGCTGTCTCAAGTAGTGCACTGATCCAGGACAGTTTAGCTTCCAAAATCAGGTGGTTTCAGCATGATATGACTGAGGACTGCTGATGAGAGCAGGACAGTAAGGAGGGTAATCAGAGCTGATCTGCAAGGATAATGGACAGAAACAATGTTCCACAGGGAAGGTGGAAGAGCGAGCTGCTGTAATGATCACTCGTCTGGCTGAAACAGATCTGTCATACTGAGTTACAACACACTTTGACTGTTACAAGCAATAATTTTCTAAAACATGACTTTTCTTCCAAAAGTACCTCAGGCTATGGGGACTTCCTATTAAAATAAGCTCTCTCCTTCTTTCAGATTTCTCTGAGTGAATAGCTTTCTTAAAATAAAATCAGAGTATGGTGCAGTAGTGGGAGGTGCAGTTCACATTGTCCACTGCCACTTAGAGGTGGCACTGTTGGTGGACATGTATCTGGCTTTCCAGCAGCTAAGAGCCTGAGAGTAAACAAAACCCAAGAAAATCTCCTAGTCTCATAAGGTTTTATTTTCTCACAATTATGACTTAAATTTAAAAAAAAATAAATAAAATTGTACTACTTTTTTAAAAAAATAAATCGGAGGACTATACTATTGCCTCTTTTTGTTTGTTCTTTTAAATCCCAGTTATTGTAAATAATGCATTCAATTTGCCTAAACTTCAGTTGTATAACCTGTGCTACTCAGGAAGAATGAATTAAATGTAGTTTGTTAAAGGATGGATATTTTAAATACAGAGTAAAAACACTAGCAAAGTATTCAATTTTACCCAAGAAAGAGTAGAAGAAACAACACAAAAGAACTGAAGATTGTTGTACTTATTTTTTCCAGTCTAGGGTCTCCTAGTTAGCATACAAGTAGTTTAAGATTCCAGATGAAAACATTTGCTTGAATATTTTTCTGAGATTTTGTTCTTGCATTGATTTCTATTACAACTGTTGTGTTCTTTTTTTCCTGCCTTTTAGTGAAAAACTAGAGGACTGCTCACGTAAGCTGATAAAGGAGGATGGTTTAAATGCAGGTCTTGCATTTCCTACTGGGTGCTCTCTGAATAATTGTGCTGCCCACTACACTCCCAACGCTGGAGATCCAACAGTCCTGCAGTACAACGATATTTGCAAAATAGATTTTGGGACACATATTAGTGGTTAGTTTTCATTTATTAATTAAAACTTTGAGAACGTTCTTCAGTGCAAAGACTGTGAAGCTAATTAACTTCTGCTCATTTCAGGTCGTATTATTGACTGTGCTTTTACAGTCACGTTCAATCCAAAATACGACAGACTATTGCAAGCTGTAAAGGATGCCACAAATACTGGAATAAAGGTATGATCGTTTTCTAAGTCACTTACCAAGCCTTTTACAGTAAACTTTGCAATTATTTCCCATTTATATTTGCCCTTTATTTTCAGTGTGCTGGAATAGATGTACGTCTCTGTGATGTTGGGGAGGCCATACAAGAAGTTATGGAGTCTTACGAGGTTGAAATTGATGGCAAAACATACCAAGGCAAGTTCTCGCCTTTATGTAAGGATATACTCTTAGAGTATATATATTTGTGCAAAGAGTGATTTTTTTTAATTTTAATTTTTTTTTTTTCTGTATAACATTGAAAAGACCTCTGTACCAGAAGTCTTGTATGAGTGACTTTCATAAACTCATGTTTCTGGATGGCTTGCCATTCCTCTGGAGGAATGTTCTTGGCTTACCCGTCCAAGTATTGTACCTTTAACAGATGAGGTGGAGGCTAAACAACGGCTTCAAAATTCACAAATTATTTGACACCTATTGTTTGGCTTTATTAATAAACTTCTGTTACTGTTGGAGTTGCTGATCTCTAATGATGATAAAGTTTTGATACAGCATACAAAAGTAACTTGGGTCTTGGCTGGAATCTGTACGAGGTGTGTATCCACACATACAGTTTTGTATTGTTTTTTTTTTTGTATTTCCTCTGTGTTGTGATGCGTCCCTGTTGTACTTTCAGTATGGGTAACAAACCAAATTGCTTTCAAGGGTTTTAACATGTTAGGAAATTGCCTGTAATATTAATGTTTTCTTCAAAAGTGAAACCAATTCGCAATTTGAATGGACACTCGATTGGGCCATATAGGATACATGCTGGAAAAACGGTGCCCATTGTGAAAGGAGGAGAAGCCACAAGAATGGAGGTAAATGGGAGTTCTTAAATCTTTCTGTTAAGTTTACCCAGCTGTCACTGCAAGAGTATTTCTTGTGCAGTCCTAATGTGTAGCATCTGTGATACTGGTGGATAACAGCACCAGAGGAAAAACTTTGCTGTGCTTGGTAGTGTTCCTGTAAAGGAGCGATTGCTCTTGTTTCATCTCAGTGGCTTCTCCATCTAGCCCTGGAGTGTTCTGGTATCTAACACTAGCTGAAATTGAAGACTTAGAACCCTGCTACTTTAAAAAAAAAAAAAAAGGCAAACACAAACCACCAAACAGAAACCCCCCTTGAAATCTAAAGAACATGTTTAGTGATGCTTATGCACAGTCCTGCATATCTATTTCTCAATCTGTATGCATTATTTAAAGGCAGTGTTAGAATATTGCACTTAAGAGCAGGGAAATGGGACAGGAATTCAGATTTTGGGGTGAACTTGAGGTACCAGTTCTCCAGAGAGGTGTGTGAATGACTGGCAAGTCCAAACTTTCCTTGCTTCTTCACTCTGTAATTAAAAAGTCAAAATAACAATCTTCTCTTGCTCGAGTATTTCTTGAGAACAGCAGCGTTGTAGCTTTGGATGACTTTTTGCAAGTACAGTTAAATCTGCTATCTTTCTTGTAAAGCTTCCAGTACAGTTTTTCTTTGCAGATACAAAATAATTAAGTATATTTCTAGTTAATGTGAGAGTCCAGATGAAAGATATTTGAACGGTATTTTGGAGGAGGGGAAGAGAAATTGCTGTACATGATCTGGCAAAGTACCAACCAGAAAGGCAGTATTAAAATATGTAACCTGAGATCTAGCCACTATTTGGATATAAGCTTGTGTTCTAACAAGGTAAGAGGGCTTATTTGTTTAAAAGATTAGTAATGAGGTAAGAAGCTTTCAGTTTAATTCTAAGCCTGATCACTGATCAGCAATGATCACTAGTAAGCCTGTCAGAGTAAGTAAGACTTGTAAAGGCTGAGTAGAGACCAGTGTGGTCTGGACAGGATTGGTTTTTGAGGTAAGCTCATTCTCATCATCCAAAGCTTGTATCATAATTGTTGATCACCTTGTTAACGACGTAACAAAGAGACAAAGCTTTAACTGTATCTTATCTATAGGAGTGTGCAAGGGGATTAAAGAGTACTGGAAAAGGAAGGTCTAAAAAGCTTGTGTGTCCCCTTCTTGTTTTAGCTGAGTGAAGGGTTAGGTCTTGTGTATCATGCATCACCAGGATATTACTAATATAAAGCTTAAGTGTTCTTTAAGCAAATCTTACTTAAAGATTTCAGAGCTTCAAGGTTGTTTTAATTAAATATCCAGACACTGGGGAGAAGACATTTTGTAATTTCTTCAGCTTCTGTAGGTTACTTAGGACACAATCTGACATCATTAAAGACCATGAGTTTTGCCAATGAAGAATGTGGATTATGGCCAAGCTCTTACTGTATGTGCTAATTATAGTACCAAGCTGCAGTCAGTGAGTTTCGTGTGACGGAGAGGAGGACAGCCTCTGAAATACAGCCTCTGGCAATCCTTATTCTGAAAAAGTGGGTTTAAAGTGCCACTGAGGGAGGATGTTGTGGTTTTATGTTTTAGTTTGTTAGACTTTGGGGTTGTGTGGTTTTGGGGTGGTTTTTTGTTTGTTTGTTTGTTTTTTAATAAAATCAGTTGACTATTCAGGGCCATCTTTAAGAGTTTGTCTTGAATTTGAAGCACTTTTGATACATCTTCTCACTTTTGGGTTGCAACTTCGAAAGTAACTTAAAAACTAAAAAAAACTAAACTTAACTTAAACTAAAAAACCCAGCTCCCACTGTGCACCCATGTTTGATGGCCCATCTTGTTTAGTCCCTTTTATAGTCCTGCCATTACAGGTATGTGAATGCATTTGGCAGAAATGAGTTTACATAATGGCATTTCAGTATGTTCTTGGCTAGAATTTTGATAATGCCCTTGCAGATATATATCAACTTCATTTCTTGAAGAAATTCATCTTGTGGAGTGGAAATGAGCAGGTTAAGGGTTTATACTAGCAGCTGTTACCAGAAAATTCTTGCAGAAATTGGGCAGAAAGTTCTTCAGTGCAGTAAGTCTCTGTAATCCACATCTGTTTGCTATGTCTAAACTATAAATTTCCTAGGACCTCTGTCTGAATAACAGAGCAGAATTGCTTCCAGTTAGCAAATGTTTTGCAGCAGAATGTAGTTTCTTAGCTACATTAGATGTATGCTTTGACAACGTTTTACCTGCAATGACTGAGAAGTTGTGACTAGAAACATGCTGATATTTGCTGCTTGAAACAAATAAAATGGTACTAACATAAATAGCTGATGATTTGGAGATGTCTGTAACTTCACTGTATGAAATCTCCGTGTTGGAATTTTTCTCTGTGTGGATTTGTTGATTGAATCTATTCACATTTAATTACTGGTATTCAGAAATAGTTACACTGAGGATGTTGAATCAGAATGGCCCAATGTCACTTAATTTTGTATTGCAACATGTTCCCTGTGTTTTTCCTTAGGAAGGTGAAGTGTATGCTATAGAAACCTTCGGCAGCACAGGAAAAGGTGTCGTGCATGATGATATGGAGTGTTCGCATTATATGAAGAACTTTGATGTTGGGCATGTGCCAATAAGGTTGGATTTTGTTATTTTTGGTTGGTACATTTTGCTAGAGCTGCCACCTTCGTCAGGTTCAAGTTCTATACAGTGCAGGTTCTTCGCTAATTAATAAAGCTGTCAGAGGACTCAATGGGTGGTGTTAGCAATGTTCATGTTCTGAAATCTGCTCTTGTAATCCTGGAACAGTAATGAATTTGATAAAGAATTGAATATGGAATCTGGAAATTGAGAAAATATATTATGTTTTCAGAAATTATTTTTAAGTCTTCCTATCATTAGTAATTTTTAATAATTATATGAAAATTGTATATTAGTCTATATTGTTTATAGAGTTGTTTGTTTGTTGCTTTTTTTTAAATCAACATGTGTGTTATGGTTACGTGCTACAATCTTTGTCTTAGTGCTGCTCCAAGAATATATCAAGCTCTTCATGTAATTTGTTTCACTTGTGTGGCTATTTTGTGGCTTTTAAGTCCTTTTTGGAGCATATTGCTATAAAGTGAAATAGATTATTAATTTTCCGTTTCCACTGGGATTGCATTTTGGCACTTCTAGGAATGCAACGTATTTTCTGAAGTGAAGTCTACTATGGTTAGAAACAGCAGGCAGATGTGCCTTTCCAGTTCTGTTTTGTTTCTAGAGAACAATCTAGTAATATGAAAAAGGGGGGGGGAGGGGAGAATTGGCCTAAGGGTTGGAAAGAAACTGGTTATGTTTGGAAATAAGTTCATTTCTTAGCAGATCTATAAATCTCTTTGTTTTTATCTTTATGTACTGTATGAAGTATGAATAAAAAGCTGACCAAGTATTTGACTTCAGAAGTGATACTTCAGTGTTTTAAATCACCAAGTTTATGCCAATATTAGTTCAGATCATTAACCACTTTGGATCAGGAAGAACTCTGGTTTTCTTTCTAAACTGGATCATTTTATTATTTAAGAGAATGATTCCTGTCACGTTTGGTTTTGCTAGTGTAGTTAGACATAGGAATGTTCAGAGTCTTAGCTGCCTCTATTTGAAGTGGATGGGCAGGGTGCTTGGCAGCGTTTGGATTTGTTTAGAAAGGTATCTTTTTGCAGGAGGGAATGCACTTTCTTTTTGTGAACAGAACCCCTGATAGATGTAGAAGGACATCCCAAGACCAGGCAATCTTAAAACACCCTGACATATGTCTAACCCTTTTCTTAATGGAGAACTCGAGTCCATTTCCGCAGTGAGCGCTTGCTGGTGATAGCTCTTCCTTCTCCAACATCGTCTTCTTTTCTCCTCAGGCTTCCAAGAGCAAAACACTTGCTCAACGTTATCAATGAAAACTTCGGTACGCTTGCCTTCTGCCGCAGATGGCTGGATCGCCTGGGGGAGAGCAAATACCTAATGGCACTGAAGAACCTCTGCGACCTGGGCATCGTGGATCCCTACCCTCCCCTGTGTGACATCAAAGGCTCCTACACGGCGCAGTTTGAGCACACCATCCTGCTGCGCCCGACCTGCAAGGAGGTGGTCAGCAGAGGGGATGACTACTAAGCTCCAGGCCACCTCAGCACCTTTCTGCTCTAGGCTCTGTTGGAACGTACTACACCAGAATTCATTTGCAACGTATTGTCTGTTTTAACGGTGGACTGATGTAATACTTTCCGTACTTGGAAAGGAAGGAATTTAATCAAAGGCAAGTCTTCTAATGTAACTAACCAAGGAAAAAGCTTTCAGGCCTTTAGAAGTATTTCAAAAGTTACTTATTTTTTCTGTTCAGGGAAATATGTGCTATAAAGCTCAATTTTTAGTTTGGAATGAGTTATACATTTTGTTTTGAACATTTATGATAAAAGATGCTTTTCAAATATTTATATTACCATATTCCTACTTGAATGCTTTGAATGACTACGCCTGATTTCTGCGCCCAAGACCTCTATGATAATTGCCTTTTAAACTTCCTGAAATCCATTTTGTAAAAAAAAAAAAAATAAAGACAAATTTTCAGATCTAAAAACATAGATACTTTTTAGAAGTCTGGTTATGATTCTGGTCAGGAGTCTGCTGGGAAACTGCTCTATTAAATATTTTACAAACTTGATTTGACATTTCTTGTCTTGAAACTAGACCTGTCTTACCCTTAATCTGAAACTTAGCCTTTCATTGCTGATTTAAATAGTCTTGTCAGCGCTGGCATGTAGGGCAAGAAGTCGGCAGTTCTTTGCAGGACAGAACACGACAGCTTTTGTAAAGATGCGTGGTGTGATTTTTGAGCATGTCCGTCTTCAGTCTAGACTTCATATCTATCAGAGTATGACAAACCCATTTGGGCTCTGTGCTCTTATTAGCAACACGCAAGTTGGGGCTGAAGTCACCTGTGAACATTACGTACCCCTACATAGCCTTTGCCACTGGCACGCCCTCCTACATGGAGCCAAGGTTTCATTCCCAGTCTCCTTTGAATTCACAATCGATTGGACAAGTTGTGAGGACAAAAAAGGACCCGTTTATTTTGGAATGCTAAAAGTTCTTCCATACAGGTAAACTAATCTGGAGTATTTGATGTTTTCTTGATGTAAGAGGCCACCATCCGTCATCCTGCAGTGGATCTGACTTGAATCTCGTCTATAAAGGTAAATTAAATCCCATGGCTCCTCAGGCCTAGGTGCAGTATGTCGTCCAGTGCTGTGTATTTACCTCTTCACTTGCATATTAAAATTTGGCAGTTACCAGTAACAAAAATGACAGCTTCTTTGCTAGGTGGGTAATAGTGCTGTAAACGTGACTGTTTAGGGAACAGAGACACTTCATCTGCTCCTTCCTTGGTAGTGGCAGCCCGCTTTTATTTATAGAGTTCATATTAATTTAGAAGTATCAGTTCTTTCCCCCTCTGCCTTTGGGTAGAAGCTGCATTTTTGTCCTTTGGAACCCACCTGTGTGAGCTGCAGCTCAGAGGTGAGCAGCATCACTTCCTGCCTCCAGTCTAAAATAGACGTTGGTGGGCTTTTCCCAGTTGTCAGTGTGATTTAAACTTGCAAAGAGGGAAGGAATAGTGCCCAGAACTGTTTCTGGTGTTGCTGTGTGGGAGTGCTGGGACCCAGCAATCCGTGCCCAGTGATCTCTGCAGCAGCGTGGGCACGTGCTACTTCAATATATCAACGATGTGTTTTCTTCCCTTTGCCTCTTCTTCTACCTGAATGTAGTAGGAAGATACTAGCAGAGCTGCTTTGCATTACTGCCCGTTTTTTTAACTTTTTTAGTACCCCTTTGCAAATTCACATACAGACGCCGATTACCACACATAACAGATTGTAGAGGAAATGCCTCAGAAAAATCCTTGCAGAACATGACGATTATTTCTTGCTGTTAACTTTAAATGGGGTTTGTCTGGAGATGTGCTTCTTGGATTTACACCTGGCTGTATAGGAGGCAACTCCTGTTTCCACCAACTCCTTGCACCTTGCATTTTAAAACAAATAAATACCTCCATTGCCTTCATGCTCTTCAGGCTGCCTTCTGTAGCTGGAAGTGTAGTTACAAAGTCCTGGCCATGCTGTCTGGTAACTGGACCGTGCTGTCTTGTCACTTGACAAAATTGTCTCAGACTTTTGAGTTGGATATTCTGTCTGTCTTCCTCAAATACTCAGAGGATGGGGATAATCTTGTTTTTCAAGTATGTGCAGCACCAGAAATGGTTTCTGTAGAGTGTACATTTACTAGAGGTGCCAAAGTAAAGTGTTTAGAACCCGATTTGCAGGGTTTTCCCTTCATGCAGACCTTGAGACACAAGTGCCATTAGAGGATGTATAGCTGGACCTCATGATCTGTCCTTTTCATGAAAGTATATGGCTGAAGATTTTTCCTAACCAGGAGACCAATTTTAGACTCAAACAATTTGCTCCGCCTCTTAGATGTGGCATTTGAGTTTTATTTTGTGGTGTTTGTTGGGTTTTGTGTTTTTTTCCCCCTCACCCCCAACCCTTTTCTGTTTTATCACCTGGTTCAATAAGTCTTCAACCTAACAAAGTCTTCTGTTAATTTCATGGACCCTTGTACTGGATTTCTGGCTGCAAAGAGCATGGCTGCCTTGCCTGCTGTGCAGCCGCGTTAGCAGCGCTCTGAACGTGGCAGCGCCTGCTTGCGGCACTCTGCCAGAAACCTCCGTTGCTTTAGATTTTAGGTGAAAGCCTCGAGCAGTTGCCCAGAAATCAAGTACCTACAGTGAAGGGCAAGTGCTGGGGCTGTGCCAGTGTGCCCCATGGCTGGCCCTGGGAGTGGGACCACGTGGCACAGGAGACCCCTGTCCAACACGTGGCACAAGGAAAATGGGGCTGGTGGGGACAAACACTGCCAGTCATGGAGTGAGCATCTTGTGAGGATGGGTTGGGTCATCTCTGTTCCCCAAAGCTTCTGCAGCTTGGGCAATTTGTAGAAAATAAAGAATTTTATTACAACTAGAGGGGCTTTCCAGCTAAAGGCCAGATGCTACCACTTTTATGTGAATCAGAGAGCCAGTAGTACTCAGTCACAGGTCTCCGGTTTAAAAAAGTCAGCCCACATGCTGATGGTAAATTTCAGAGTTTTGCACTTCACGTTTTGGCTTAAAAAACACTACCTTGCTAGAAAGATGGTTTTCGGTTTTTAGTTGCAGATTTTATTAAAAACTGAAATAAATTTGGTGCTAAGTAGTAACTATAAAGTATATCCCTAGGGATGTAGTTGTGGAATAATGAAGCAGTTCGGCTTCAGGGAACCTGCTGTGGAGCAACCAGTCTTGCAAAGGAGCAGGAATTTTAAGGGTGAGTGTAACTACAGCTTTTCAAAGAGGCATATGGGGAGGGAGGCAACACTGCTGTTGGAGAAAACTGTGTCTTGCAACTTCATTGTGTCATGTACCTTCAGTATATTCAAGTAATACCCAAAACGGTACAAAAATGGAATAAGATGGTATCGTGGAAACTTGATGTGATGTGTGACTGAAATTTGTAATTTGATTTTAACAGGTGGTGGTTGGAGGTGAAGGAACTTTGTCAAATCCTACTTATTTCAAGTATTTTTCTTACAAGGAAGGAACTAAAATTGGGCTTTTTAAGTTATGATTTGCCATGATTTTGCACTTTCAACTTTTTGGTACTCAGCATTCCCTGGAACATCAATCATCTGTCCATAAGGCAGGCAGCACGTTTTTGTAAGTCAATAATAAAATAATGGCTTTACGAATGTTTGTTTATAGATAAAGGCTACATAACATGAGAAATGCAGGGCACGCTTAGAAGCAGGATGTTTTTATATTTTTTTCTAAAAGGAGTCAAGGCAATTCTGTTTATATAAGTTGAAAAGTTTTGAGTATTTTCAAAGTAAAAAAATAGACAACTATGCTGTGACTCTTTCAAGACTACTGTAGCAGAAACTGATTTTTTTTTCCATGATGGCCACCCAACTCCTGTAACTAAACTTAAAAGTTGCATTGCTTTTAGCCTTGCTTTTGTACTGGTGCCGAACATCTCTCTTCTTTTGCAAAGCTACAGTGCTGTAAAAAGAAAAACCAGCACACTCGTGTAGACCAGTCAGTGGTTAAAATAAAGCTTTTTCTATAGCTGTCTTTGAGACAGTAAAAAATCACCGTTTTTTCCTCAGGCCAAATCTCCGAATCCCTTAAATGAGACTGAGCTGTAGAGAAGCCTCATGTGCTACTAGACAAAAGCGGGGACACAAAACCCCACTGCACACTGCCTGGAAGTGTCTGTCCATCACCACCTGGGACTGGAAATGATGTGGCTGGTTTGACCCTCATGGCGTGTTGTCTGCAGATGATGCAAAGCAGGAGGAGAGGCTGGCAGACCAGCTGGGGGCACTGCCACCTCGGGGGAAGTAGGACAGGCTGGAGAAATGGGCCAACAGGAACCTCCTGCAGCCCAGACAAAGGGAAATGCCAAATCCTGCACCTGGGCAGGAAAAACCCCAGGCACCAGTAGAGGCTGGGCAGCAGCTCCCACAGAAGGACCTGGGGGTCTTGATGAACCCAGTACAAGGTACAGAATGACTTTAAAAAGAATTTAAAAAAAAAAGAAGATAGTAATGATGATGTATGAAGTAATTCCAGTACACGCATTGTTTTCTGTCCACATCAAGGCATTTTATTGAGGTATAAACTTTGCAGAAGATGAGGTAAGTCTGCATAGAACTTATGCAAGATAACTTCACAATTAAAATTTACTTGGCATTAATTACGGTACGTGGGGAAAGACTGATAGTTCCTGCTTGTTAGATTGTCCTCCATGCACAGGTCTGTTAATGCCAGTGGGTAGGCCCCTGGAGAAGGTGCAGCAGTTGTAGGTGATGAAACCAGTTAGTGAAAATGCTTCCATACAAATGTTACACCTCCTTTTCAGTGGTTTGTGTTAGCGGTGACCAAGAGGGACAAGGCTTGCTACAAGACAAAGCTCATCCAGTACAAGCAAGGGGGTGCTAACGTTCCTGTACCAATGACAGTGGGCTGGGCGAGTGGGGAATTGCTCTCTGGGTTTTACTTTTTTCTTAAGGAAGCTTTGTAAGTTATTGGAATAAAAAGCCCCCGGTTGTCAAAGTTAGTACTGTGAATTTGGCACTTCAGTTGTCAGACTTGTTAAGGCTAAAACAAGGAAGTCTTGGTAAAGATACATTCTTGTGCTATTAAACACTCCTCTTACATATATGAAAATAAGTACATGCTCTTATTTCCTCTATTTGAGGTTTTAACAAATTCTATCAACATATCTTTAGTGTAGTTCCACTGATGCTTTCAAAGTAGTTTACTTTCAGTCATGAAGAACATACAGAAAGTTTCCTACGAAATGTTCAGTTACTGTTTGCCATGTAAAACGTTGATTTCTGGTGAATGTTAATATTCTAAGACCTAGTAGCAATTCCTGCAGACGGTAAGAATCATGATATCATTAGAACTCTACTATAAAATGTACACAAGCATATATAGAAAATTAACCAGAGAAACATCAGTTGCCCATTGAAAAGTAATTTTTCTAAACCAATTCAAAAAGATTATCAAAATACAAAACCAGCTTAAAAAAAAAAAACAGCCTGAGGTAAGAGTTAACTGCAAATAGCAATCTTTTTCTTAAAAAAATAGCTGTATTGAAATCCTAGAAAGTTACTTACTGTCAATAAAAACTTTTACTAACAATCGCAAGGAGTACTTCAACTAATACAAAAGTATATAATCATTGTACAGGGGTTTGAAGTAAAAAAGTACAACACTGTACTTTAATTTCATTTAAAAATATATCGTTATGAACTTTTACCATACACACAGTTACCTGGCTTTGGATTAGCTGCTGCTGTTGCCCGCGGAGCAGGCAGCTGGCCCCGCGTGCTGCTGGCTGTCAGCCGTGCTAGGACGCGGCACTTTGCCACGCCCATTTGCCTGAGTAAGTCGTTGGCTGTAAAACAAAATGTAGGCTTGAGCCTTGCATACTTCGTCCATAGTGCACATGTTGAGCTTCGAATCATTGCAGTGTACCCAGAATCCTGCAGTGAAGAAATATACCAAGAAAAGTCATCGGGGCATTGACAGGGAGTATGGCAGGTAATACTTAACTAGGGCTGGGTCCCACGTAACAAGCTGTGCAGAGAGTACCCCGCTTCTGTGACCTGCTGCATTTGCCTCTGTGCTCTACAAGACCAGCTCAGCTTCCCTCAGGTTTACAGAAGAGTTTACAGCTAGAGCACGTTTAACAAGGCAATACAAGAACTGGATTCTTTTGCTCTACAGAAGCTCAGTTCTCCTCCCAGGCAGCTCAGCTACAAGCGATGCCACTTGGCTTTTGCAGAAAGATGGAGAGCTCAGCAGCTTAGAATTAGGAACACCCTTTTTTCCACAGTCCCTCCTCCACAGCTGGCTCCTACCTCCTTCTGAATTGTAGCAGTAAGCAGTGTAGTGCCCTGAGCCAAATCCTTTCCCGTGATGCATGACCACAGCAGACAAGTCGTAGATAAAGCAGTCAGGCAGGAGGGACTTGAGGGACTCTCTGCAGCAATAAGGTTCCATGTTCAGCATTCTATCAAAATTAACGTGTACGCCAATCTTCTCACGATGATTGCGTCCTGACCACCTGGGAAGTTAAGTCAAATGAAAACTTACTTTCTCCCAAAGAACACATGCAACGTTCTAAATTATGTTTTAACATAACAAGCGTAATCGTCACTATTGTCTTTGTGCATAAAACAAATGCTAATTTGTATACTTTTTTTTTATTCTAGGCTGCCTCCCTCACCTCTTTCTCTTTAATGGGTCTTTTTAAATATGTCTGTGGTACCTACTATTCTCATCTTCTGAAATATCCATCTTAAGATTTGTGTGATGGTGTGGGAAGCACTTCCCACATACTGGATCTCATTGATATTTCTCCTTTATTCCAGCTCATATTTGGTTTCTTTTGTATTTGGGACACTCTGTACTAATGCGTGGACCAACTGTTCCAAGAAACACAGCCCCACTTCCTCACTCTCAGGCTAACGCAGCAGCGCATTTGGTTTCATGAAGGTGATGTGAGACTTCCACTGAACACAGTCTCTGTTCTTCTATTAGTGAATGTGAGTATTTACTCTACCTATATAGAACACGAGATTAAGCGTTACCAACAGTTTCACAGCAAGGTTAGTAGGTTTTGACTGAAAAGAAGGGTGAAATAATTTTGGTATTATTTGATAAGTAACAAGTAGTTGGAATCCAAAAGGTCAGTTCTCTACTTATAGTGTATCTTACTGATGCTTAAATTAAAGAAAAAAGTTAAGTTTCTAGTAACTATTTCTCATCCTACTAGTAGTAAATGGAAATGAAACTGATGCTGAAAAACACTGATCCCAGACAATGGAGGAGCAGGACTAAATTGGTCAGTTTGGAACACTGTTTGTTGTGGTACTACTTACCTAAACCGTTTAAGGTGTAATCTGAGAACCTGAGGTAGCCGACACACCATAAGCTGCTTCTGAGCTTCTGTGAGTATAACTGGTTTAGAAGAAAACTTTCTTCGTTTTGCTGAGGCCAAACACACAGTTACACAATACAAATCTTGATAACAGCCTTCTATTTCCATCTAAGGTTCATCCACCAAAATTGCGTGGACCTAAATAGCTACTGGATGTGCCTCCTAACAAAGGACGCACTCTTGAGAGCCATTTTGCAAGGATTATTGCATGATGTAGGCATAAAATAATTGTGGTCACTTAGTTTAGTCACCTTAATTAAAAAAGCTGATAGGTTCTTCAGCTGGGAGTATCAGAATCCCCATTAGGGTGTGATCAAACTTTATCTAAGAGAAGCATCACACTCCAAAACATCCTTTGAACAATTCCATCTTCTAGACAGTGAGCAATAGCTGTCACGTGACCACACCAGGACATAAGGACTTTGCAACACACTTTTTAAAGACTTTTAGTATTTTCCTTCCACACTCTGTCAGTATGTATTTTACCTAGAGAACGTATGCATGAGTACATACTGCCTTTACTCACTGTTGCACTGATCACATGCATAGATCTTTCCTTCCAAAGCTTCGGTTTCTGTAAACTTGGCCAGCATTTCCGTCAGCAGACAGGGATACTGGGACGACATCTCCTTGCCATTGCAGTGATACCTCTCAGGAAACTCCAGGGACAGGTCCCAGAAAGGCTCTACAGTATTTGATTTATTGTCACAGGCAAGACACGTAACCTGTAAAACAGTATTTCACTGGTTGCTTACACGCAAAAACTTACTTTGCTAAAAGCGTGCCATAAGATAGTTTAAAAAAAAATATAACAAACCAAAATGTTTTTTCCCTAGGATAACTGATGCAACCACAGACAAGGTATACTCATTAACGAAAGAGACTATACACCTAATTTCTTTGCTCTGAAACAGCACATCCAATACTGTTACCACAAACAGGTACACGTTCCTGTGTGTTACTGAGAAAGAGAAGCAGTGTCAAAATGATCTGCCTGTGACTGTCCAAGAGAAAGCAGCTTGTGAAGTCTCAGGAGTCTTTTCTCCAAAAGGAAAACTGACACTAAAGAGAGAAACTATAGGTTAATTTAAAACAAACAAACAAACTGAACAAAACAAAGAAACAAACAAATACAGCTGGGGATTTTAAAGTCATATCCTTCTTACTTTGTTAAGTCTGCCAGGGAAGCCTGGATTAGGAAGCACACTTCTTCAAAGAAAAATTAACAGGTAAAAATAATTTATTTCTTCTTTCAGTAAGTGGCTCCATCATCACACTAGGGAAAGGACAAGCAGTAAGACAACATGAATAAAATGTCTAGAAGTGAAGTGAGTCAACCTGCAAAATGCAGATACTATAGCAGGGGACAATTAATTTATAGCAGTCAATATTTAGGAAGGTAAGTTAAAAGCAGTAACTCTTCTACACTGCATGGCAACACATTAGATGTTGATTTACAATGCAGTCTTCTCCTTACAGAAGAGTGTCACCTCGTTTTCTCCACAAGACCTCCACCCTTCCACAATCCCTGTGTATGACTAACTTCTATCAACAGCTGAACCTATGCAGTAGTGACACTCCACTGAGACTGCAACAAGCATAGTTCATAAAGGCTAAAAGGAAATACCAGTAAATATCAACTGTGTGTGTGTGAGAGACTAAAACTATGTTCACCATGGCATGTTCAAGGCAACAATGCACAATACAACCCTGGAGAGTAATTACCTGAGTTTTCTACTGCTAATATATTTATTGGCTTAAAAGTTGCAGCTGGCCATTAACTCAAGCAGCTCTCACCTCACTGCTCTAGAAAAAAAGGCATTCTGAAACTAAGCTGGATTTTAATTGAGCTCAGATAGATAGACAGCTTTACTAGAACTTCCAGAAGCATCCAACATGTTCCCACTCCCTTTCCCAGTTAAACTTTCCCACCAAAAAGACTGAAGGAACTCAAAGTTTTCACATAGGACCTGCTGTCAAGATACTGTTATTTATCAACTCACAGCAACAGCCATATGTGAGGAGACACCACTATTCTTGTTTTACAGTAAATGGAATATCAAATGTCTCTTTAGGTTTGCATGACAAGGGTAAGTAACTGCCAAATTAAATCTGCTATTATGATGCTTCCTGTGTAGGAAAACACCATGCGTCATTTGGAACAACTAATACAAAAATGTAGTAATAGAGGAATGAAAATCCACAGGGGATCCAAATATTGTTATTTCACAGACATGCCTTTGTGTTGCTGTTCTACATCAGCTCAGTGTAGTTCTCTCCAGTTAGATTAGTAACCTACTCTAGTGTAAAAATACACTTGGTTTTGTTCAAGAGCTCCCTTATTGTCCTCTGAAGGTTTGCTGTTATGTAATCAATCACCCTGCTTTGTCTTGTAGTTTCATGTTCATTTATATACAGACAGATCTGTCACCTCACGGTACCTTCCTCCTAGGTGTTCTTCTGAGCAATTATTGAATGCACCCTTTAGGTACAGTAAGCTATATACTTTAGGTATATATGACCGACCTCTGCATTAGCTACCTAATGCACAGGGGTGTCTGTGCCCCAGCACACGTTCAGCAGCGGTGTCAGGAAACTGTTAGGTGCTTTAAGTTCTAAGAAGCAAAAAACACCACTGCCTTTTTCTTAGAAACCAAAACTTCAAACTTACATAGAAAAAAAGAGGAGAATCTTCTGGTTTAATTTGCACTGACAGGAGCTTCTTTTGTAAGTGTTAACGTCTGGCAATGTTTCAAAGCCACAAACTACTAGTAATTCAGAGCTGGAATCGAGACTTGGAGACAAAATTATATGTCTGGCTACTGTTCAAGCCAACTCCAGCATAAACACAGAATGACTAATAGATTTCTGCTGTACAACTGGGTGATTTTCTTGAGCCAAAAGTTTATTTAATTGACGAGTTACTTAAGAATTTGTTGCACATGAATGCACATTAAAGATTAACAGGTTTAGGATGAAGTACATATACATATGTAAACTTGGAACAGATAATTTTAACACATTCTGAGGCTTTACATTTCATGTATAATGTTAATAATCTAGGTTATTTTAAGCTCCTCTTTCCCATCTACATAACAAATATTATCCCTAAAGAAAAGAAACAAATAATTGATCCAGCTTCCAAGTTCTCCTTCCCAACGATCCAAAACAGGTAAATTGATGCGATAGTGCTGCTTCTCACCTCCTCATCCAACTGTCAGCAAAGCTGATTTGTGTTGACAAATTCCTGCACAGCTACAGAGCTGCACTCATTTCCTCAAATCCAAGACAATATTCATCGCCATAATCCTGCAGCAGAGTTGAACTGTTAAGAGTTATCTGGGATTTGCACACTTGCCAACAGGCAAGTAACCTGCCCATTTGGGTAAGCACACACCCAACCATCTCGGCCACTGTGAGCCAACTGCTCCTCTACACACTCTCACTCCATGCTCAATGAGAATTCCATCAGGGCCAGAACAAAGGTTGGAACTATTTGTCTTAGCCAGGCCTGAGCTTACTTGGATTACTCAACGAGTAGGAGAGATCCCTACCCTTCTGTGGAATCCATCAGCACTGGCCTGTCCATCTGCAGGGGCTTCACATCACTCCCATTGCTTCTCTTTCTGTCCTGAACGAGACTCCTTTATCTCACGCTTCACTACCATTCACACAGTACAACCCAGACTTTCTTCTTTCATGAAAAGCACTGAAATTATATAAACTGCACAAAAGTTGAACAAGATGTGAGGTTTTTAGAAAACCAAAATGAAAAAAACCCCAACATGAACGCAAAAGACTGGCAAAAACTTCATGCATGTGTCTGATGTAACTTTTTAGGGTACAAGTACGCAGGACAGTAAGAGAGAAGTGAGTCTGCTCCAGCAATCTGGCTGGCTTCTTTTTATCACTGTATTTTACAAATCTAGAGTTTGATTTCACCTCCCCATTATATTCCACAATTGCTATTTTAGGAAGCCTTATGATGTAGTTTATAACAAAACTGCATGAGAAGTTTACATTAGAGCAAAGAATGTAAATCACTTGGTTTTAGCTAATCTGAAATCTCTACCCTATGTTCTGCCCTGACCAACCTCTCATGCCTTGAAACAGGGGTACTATATACAATTGTTTGGTTAAAGCTCGGTATTCAATCATGGGCCAAAGGCCAGACTGAAAAGATCTGGATCAAATTGCTTGACTCAAGCTAAGCATGGAGGCCACTCAGACAAGCATCATTGTACCCACAGTAATTTGATGGACAGCCACTGCCCCAGATGGCATTCAGCCTAAATGCAGCCAAAGAAAAAAGTTAACATACTGCTGCAAAAGAAGCCAACTCCATCATCAACTGGTTTGCCTGTGTTCCATGCCTGTGCGTGGAAGAGAGACACCTGTCACATCTCTGCTCTGATTCTTTTTTGTTTTTAAGAACAGTAAGAAGGCTAGTCACATTTTTGTGCCTTCACTACTGAAATTTTACTACATGAGACATATATATAAAAAGTAGTAATTGAACTTTTCCACAGCAAAGTAATCAAAGTAGCAGGGGATTTGTAGTATGCTGCTATCACACGGACTTCCACATGACAGTCCATACTGTATTTCTTCAGTTACAAAAACCATTAAACTTTGTAGTGAGGAGCATACACCCTCGTCAAAATGATCTGTATCTATTCAACAGAATAGCATAAGCATAACACCAGCAAACTGGGATCTGGTTTAATGTCAACTTAGAATGCCACCTTCGTCTGGTTGGAAAACAACTAGACACCCATTTTGTGATTCAGGCAACAGAGAAGAGCCCAGAGACCACGATCAGAATATAGAAATCAGCACACATACAGGTCATGGATCGGTTCAAGTGCAAACCCTCCTGCTTGAAGCTCTCACAGCTTCTAACGGTCTGTGTGAGATTTAATACCCCGCACTGCACTCTTGGCATTCCCCCCCCAAACTTCAACCCACATCATACTACCCAAAACTCAAGGGCTTCCAAACAACCCTGAGCTTGCACATTTTCCCCTTCTCTCAGCCAGTCTGTCCTGCAATACCTCCGCCGAGCAGGCAAATGGAGCGAGGCTTTGAAGGAGACTTGTTACCTTTTAAAACTTTAAACATAGTAACATAGTTTACATAATACCCTGGTTAAAAGCTACTTCACTCTCTACCTCCTGGTGTACTCATTTCCCTGAGCACTGCACACTGTGCCCAGGGAGGGCACTTTTGTGAGATGCCACCTTAAACATGATCAGAAAGTAATTAAAACAATTTCAGGTTTTTTAAAGTATGCCTAGATACATATCAAAAGCTAGTTCTTACTAGGCATTTCTATAATAAATGGTGAATAATTGGGAAAAACCTTCACAGTCCAAGGCAGGTTTGTCCTAAGAAGAAATGGTAATTAACCACAACTTTGCTGTGGAGGAAACTTTACTACTACACCGGCACAGCCACCACTCTTCACTTTCACTGCTGTTTGGTGTTACTCCAGCAGAAACCTAGGCAAAGAGCTTTACCTAAGCCACCAGATTCAAAGACAGTGGAATCCTCACAAAAGACTTTCAAAACTCACCCCACACAAAGAATTTTCTAAAGGGTCCCTCACCACTCCAAAAAGATTTCAAATTACATTGGCTAGGTATTTCTTTGATCATTTACATTAAAAGAAAATTTAATCAACAGCATTCTATAAAGAAATTATCAACTATTTGCTGCTTTGCAA